TTGATAGTCTTGTGGTGAATTTTGAAGTTGAGAGTAGAAAAGAATTGTGCTAGAGAAATTGGGATTTGGGAGTGGTGGAAGGCCAATGGAGAGAAGAAAGAATAATCGGAGTAATTTCCCTGGATAGTCAGTACCGTACCCATGTTTGGGAAATTACCTAGGAATATCACTTATGTTTGTTTTAGGACCACAATATCACCCAACTTTACCTCAAAATATACTTGACACAAAAAAATATTATCTCTCTCCTAATAGGATGCCATGTCACAGGAGATAATGTTTTTTTTTGTGTAAGTATATTTTGAGGAAAAGAGATAAAGTTAGGTGATATTGTGGTCCTAAAACAAACATAAGTGATATTTCAAGGTAATTTCCCAAACATGGGTGACTATCCAGGAAAATTACTCGAATAATCGAGAAGCCAAAAGACCATAGTCAAAAGACAAAATTACCCTCACTTTTGATTTAACTATCAAAATTAGAAATCTGTCCAACTTTTGTTACACAATGTACAATAAAATTAAGCTGTGGTCGTCCTACCTTTCATGCTTCTACATAGTAGAGTAGATGGTTCTTGCCCGTGCTAAGCACGGGCCCAACAATTTAATTTATGATATAATTTTATTGTGTTTGATCTTCCTAGGAAATATGTTCGAGAAACCAAGTACCATAATTAACATTTTTATACAAAAAAATTACATTAGACAAAAAATAAAAATACGACCAATAAGTAAAAGCTTTTATAATGATCAATAATCTTAGTGAGCTCTAGCTTTGAAACGATCAAGAAGTTCCTAAATTCTATCAACCTTTTTTTTTATGGTTTTTGTTCTTGCACTTGAACTCCACTCTGAGCAGTCTTTACCCAGGTACAAATATAGTTGTGAACTGCCAGGACATTGTGGGGAGGGAAAATTTTACAGCAATCTCCACCAACCGGCAACATATTCACTAATCTTCATCTTGATCACACTAAATAATATTGATCCACAAAAGTTATGATCAATCTTCTACTCTTAACAAAAACAAACAAATAGTAATAATAATTACCATCAGTAGGTCATTTCTGTGTTTCAATATCTCTTGCTCAAGCACCTCGATCGGAATGTGATCCCTATGTAAGAGGTTTCATCCCATATTAAGATATTTTTGTGCAACTTATGAATATGAATCTTGAGATCGAGACAAGACAATCACCTGAAGTTTCATGCGTAGTACTTCCATTCCCCTTTTTGGCTGCATCATTTAGTATTTACAAAGAAGTTGAACTACAATAAGCTCTGCCTTAGACGTCAAAGAAAGAAGCTAGTAATTAATAATAAGTTTCATTATTTGGTTCCACTGGGAAGAAAATCTGCAAGAAAGGATGAAACTTGTTATTTGTAAGATAATAAAAATTAAAACCAGTTAAAGAATGCTCTATATATACTGCTTGTAGGTAAGACTCACCTCCCTTTTGCTTTAAAAATTGGTGCTCGAATAGATGTTTTAGACTACACTCTATAGTATCGATATACCAACACCAAATTAACTATTGCATCATTTAGGAGTTTTCAGAAAAAACAAATCTTTTTGAATGAGATTTGTTAAACCTTGGTTATGACACAAAAAGAATATAGTGCCTAAGTGCTGAAATTGCATTGGAGCTTGATTTGAAAGTTTTGAATGCAAGGTATAGTGTAGAGCCGTCAATATGGGCTAGGCCTGGCAAAACCCGTAGCCCACGTACTAGTATAGTGTCTTAGGAACTAATGTTAAACTAACCTGATTATAGTAACAGGAAAACTTCTATTCACAGCAACATACGTGACCATTAAATCTCATTAGGTGTTCTCTAGAGTGGATCATGAACAAGTAATTACATAAAAGGAATAGTAAATGATGGAGGCAGGCCTCATTGACTTGAACACAGTTGGTGATCCGTTTAACTCTGCTAGCAAATTGGAGTATTCCCTTTAATACAACACATAACTATTATGATTTGGGTATCAATGTAAAATTTCAAACAAAATGAGAATCAACTTGTGTCGATTTGCGCTGCTTCAAATCTTAGTTGTTAAATGAAACTAACACTGTCTTTTTGAAGGAAAAAAAAGGGACATACAATGTATGTAATCTAGAAACGCAACTCAATTGAAGAGATAAAAATATAGAATAGTGCCGCTGGTTTAGAAAAATAAGGAAATACCTAACAGAAAAATGAAACTGAAAACGAGAACTAAAATGTCGAGTAAAGACCTGGCAACAACCAATGGCGTAGCCAAAAATTTCATTAAGGGTGTCCAAACTTTGAATAGTAATTTTTTTTAAAAATGACGATTTAAATTACCAAAACAAATAATCAAGTTAAGCAATAGTTAATTAAATATAATAATATTTTTAATAGAATTACAAGTGTATAATTCAAAACTAACATAAAGACAAAATAAACTACTATTGAAAACATAATTTAAATATATTATTACAATGGTACTCGACGAGGTTTCATACCCTGAAACGTTTTTATAATAGACTCATTAGAAATAGTACGAAATACTTTCTTTTCTGCATAAGACAATATACAACCGTCTAAAAACTCACCATCCATCCGATTTCGCAAATTTTTAATATACTTCATTTCTGAGAAAGAAAACCTTATTCCACAAGGAAAAAATATTAAAATTTAAGAAAATCTTATTCCACAAGGAAAATGTATTAAAATTTAAGGAAATAATTCAATTTTACGTTTATATATAGTATAATTTTTCGACGCAGGGTATCCAATCGGACACCCTGCAGTCTACGTGGCTCCGCCTGGCAACAACCATGAAATGAGACCTGGCAACAATCAACACCTCAAATCACGATGTTCCTAATTCCCCATCATTGGAGACGCTTGGAGAGAAAATATCTGGACAACAATCAATCTCCAAAGGGAATGACAAGAGTTAGGTGAAGGAAACAAGTGATTCTAGATGGACATATTTAGTTGAGGAAGAAGAGCATATTTCTTCACCTGCAAGGAGTAAGTTAAGTCCTCAAATAACCATATTTGCACCTTCAAGTAAGGCAAATCCATTTATGACAGTGAAAATTAATAACTCCACCTAAGATCTTGACCATTACCACCAAGGTATTGGAAAAAATCCATGAGCCAGAAGTTGTAGTTTCAAGACTTAGTCCAACTACAACTTATGATGGTGACTTGGGCAGTGAAATGTTTACGAGGATGATGAGGATGATATGCTAGACATATTATTTGATAAGGTATCTAAGGATAGGGATATCTCTCCTAGGCAACAAAGAAGTGGAAGCAACAAAAGCAAAAAGAAGACACATGAAAGACAACATATAGTTGGGATGGTAAGGTAACTGGGGAATTTATTCCAAGGCACCTACAAATGCGACTGAAAAAGCAAAATCATATGATCGTTTCAACAATAACAAGATCCAATAAATCCAAAAAGAAGTGATGAATTATCAAGTTTTGTTGGACATACTTGACGAGGAAGACAAGAGGGAAATACTTCAGGTTACTTTACATGGAGAATCCATCTCTTTTGATTCTTACATATGCAAAATGAAGTTTGAGGTTGATAACTCAACTTTATTCTTGGATTTTATATTTTTGCATTACTTAAGTATCCTCATTTGTAGTATCATCACAAAGTGTATTATAAACTCTGATGATCATAGAATATCTACTTTTCTCTAGCTCTTATTTTCTTCATGCTTGTTAATTAGTAGAGGTTCGTTAATTACCTCATTAAGATTAGTAAGGTAAGGCCTAGCCCCCCTTGTTTTTACCTTTTTCTTTGAGATCCTTTTCTCTTTATTAATAAATCTAGCCCTAGGCACACCTTGCATAGCGGAATTGCTTAAATTTTTTTTGGATATCCTTTCTTATATATAGTAGTACTAATAAAAAAATTATTTTGCAAAGTTGTAACTATAGAAAACAAAATAGGTAAGTTGCAATTCTCATCTACCTCATGACGGATAATAAATCACTCTAAATTTTTTGAAAATTGGATTTTTTTGTAACGAGCATCAAATAATGTAATTTAGCAACTACTGAAGTAGGTGAAGCTGTGAACTATCATGATTCAAATCCAGACAATTTTAAATAGGATGTCTTACCTTTTTAATTTACTTAAAAAGCTTTGACGGTTAATAGTGATACTTATAAATGTAAAATGGTCAAAATTTTATTCTTTACTTAGAGAAAAAATCAATTTTATTCTTCCTTATACTATTAATTTAAAATTACACTACCATTACTTGAATAATTCAAATATAAATGTAAAAGGTGAACACTTGATCCAATATAATAGCAGACATTTTGTAGAAACAAATATTACGTGGCATGTCATCTCAATGTCCCAACCCATTTTTGCCTCCCCTCCACTTGTTCTTCCGCCATTAATGTTTCTATTCTTATAACAATCACTAATATTGTGTGGTTAAAAAGGGTGAACTGTTGTGCTTAAATGAGATGAATATTACTTATCTAGATGAAAATAATTAGTGATGGAAGAACCAGTAAAAAGAAGAGGTAAAATGCGTTTTTAGGATATTGAGGTAGGATGTCATGTAGTGTTCATCTCATCTTTTTTTTTTTCAAAAAGAAGAAGATGAAGGTGTTTATGTAATTGGTAATCTTTATTTTGGTTGATTGTCTATTTTTGGTCTCAATAAGGAGTTTTTTGAGCTTGAAAGATTCAAATATTAAATTCCCAATAGTTTTCAACCATACCCACGTGTAGAGTCTTGAAATATAGAGGTATCTTCTTGATTCTTTCATCTTTTCGCTTAAAGCTTGTGCTTTTTTTTTCTTTTTTCTTCTACTATGATTGATTTAGTCCATTAAGAGCATATTTTGTGACTATCTGTTGAGGCAGAATATCTATTCAAAGGATAGTTTATGTAGGATGGTCTTTGTCTGATGTTTTTAATCTTCTAGTTTTTCAGAAACACGGTGCTTTTTCCAAGCTTCATATCCAAGTAGAAATAAATCATCTATGCTTTTATCATGTGGGGAAAATGGAAAGAGGATTTGTGTCACTACCGCTTTTGAAAATTTTGAGCAGAGGAATCATTCTTCCACTGAAATCTTTATTGATAAATTCCTCTTTGAGGTATTCAAGCGTCTACCCAGTGGCAGTGAGACAAGTGCTTATGCTTGTGTTTCTAAGCGATGGCTCACACTTTTAAGCAGTGTTCACAAGGATGAGATCACAGAATCTAAGAGATATCTTGCCAGGTCCCTTGTTGGTAGGAAAGTCACAGTTTCCAGACTTGCTGCTATTGCCATTAGAACTTCAAAACATGGAGGTTTAGCAAAGATATCTATTCGGGGAAACAACGTTTGTCGTGGTGTGACTGATGTTGGTTTCAAGGATATTTCTCGAGGTTTCCCTACGCTCAGAGAACTTTCCTTGTGGAATGTGTCTTCTGTTGGTGATGAAAGTTTATCTGAGATTGTCCATGGATGTCATTTGTTAGAGAAACTTGATCTTTTCCAATGCCCAAGAAATAGAGGTATTCTTGATTCTTTCATGTTTTCGCATAAAGCTTGTGCTTTTATCTTATTTTTTATTTCCCTTTTAAACTTTTGGGGTTCTACATTTTGCACTAAAATTGGTTCTTGATTGTGTAGTGAAGATGCTTTGCCTTTTTTTCTTTTCTTTTCTTTTCTTTCTTTTTCTATGATTGATTTAGTCCATTACACACCCAATTTCTACTGTAAGCCACATCCACGGGGAGCCTCAGAATTAGTCTGGATGCCTCGGAACCTAAACAAAGGTTTATTCTAGACCAAACTAAACATTTTGGGACTAACTGCACTGAAGAAATTCTCATTCGAGCTTGTTTACTCAGAATATTGACTAAAGTCAAACTTAGGCCTTAACTTGAAAGTTAAAACGCTTAATCACATTGACTTACACTGAAAGTCTCGGGAGTTGTGTCAACTATGCTACTAGCCTAAAATGACCCTTCAGGACCTGATGGAAACGTCAGAATTGGATTCTGAGGTCATCTTCCTAAACTTCTAATAAAAATTGACAGTTCAAGGTTCAAAAGCTCCAAAATAGTAAAACTCGTATAATTTTTTTTTAAATGATGTTGATATTATATTTCGAAATGATTTTCGTTACACCATCAATATCTGTAAAGCTTTCATAGCAAAATTTATTTACTTCTGTACTTCCATCCAATTGATGTAGCCTATTTTTTAGGTCCGGGTGGTTCTACATGTCTGGAGCATAGGAGTCCTAATGCGGTGAATGAGAGTCGAATGATGAATTCATCTAGGACACACACTTGTGAGCCTACTCTTGTTCCTTCCCGGAAGTAAGTACCCCCTTCATCGTGTACAATTATTACTAATTTGAATTCAGCACATGCCTATTTTTTTATGGCCCATCATTGCTAGTATTCAACTGTCTGATTAACCTACTATTTGGAATTTTCCTATTGATAAGTACGGAAACATATATAATACATTTTTTCAACAACGTAATATTGGTCCATGAGGAGATGGCCTAGTGGTTAAGGCATAGGACTAACAACTTGGACATTCTAGGTTTGAATACCAGCTAAAACTCATGGTGCATCCATCTAATCTAGCCTTACTGGGCAGCATTACCTTGTCAATATGTGCTTGTGGGATGGATAAGTTGTCCAATGAATTATTTGGGGTACATGCAAGTTGGTAGGGACACCGTTAGTATTGCTAAAGTAATGAGTAGGCGCTGAAAATATATATGACATAAGGATAATCTGAATGTGTACTGCTTAGTCATATGATAATTGATCTAATCTCTCTTCCTCTTTGCATTTCAGGGGAAGTTTTAACATCTTAGGTGCTTTAAAATTTGTACCTGGGATGCTCAATAGCTGTATTTGGGCTCATCCTCCTTCTTATTTTTTTAGTTTACTTCAAAATTCTAAGGAGACATTGATCTTTTTACACAAGGGGTTGTTCCTCTAGAAAGAAATTGCTAGCTAGATTATCAATTTTGCTTTCCTTTTTGAATATTTATTGCATGTTGTGGCATTTAATTCTCATAAATACTGCCTGTATCTTTTATGCATACATAGTCCTTTTCTTGTTTTAAAAATATTCAGCCTTTTCTCTTCCTTTTAGATATTGCATGCTGGGCTATTATGTTGATGCACCAGTGGATTGGTGTTGTGAAGAATGTGATATTGGCAAAGGGATAATGTCTTCATCAAGTGGATAGGTTTTTTGGATGGGAGAGACTTATGTATGATTCTAGCTCCTTTTGTTTATAGTTTTTAGCTTCTATTATTGCAACAAAAATGCAACATCCTTTATTATATACAATAAAAAAGAAAAAGAAAGCAACAAAAAATGAAATCTAAGTGAAAATTGTAAATCAAAATAATAGATATCTGAACGATAGACCTTTAATTAGAAAGATACATATATACAAGCACCAAAATGAAATATAAGTCTACTATCTGAAGGTATTGTAATATATGGCAAGAGATGAAAATAAGATAAAGTTGAGGATGATGATGATTTAACTTGATATATAATAATATCAAATTAAAATACTTAATAATGTATCGATGACAATTCAATAAACCTTTTGATTTTCAGTGAAAATTTAACGCTTCTTGTAGTTCGTTTCTATACAATCCTTTTAATACTAAATCATGCAATTTACTCCAACTTCCCCTATATATATATATATTTAATAAATTGTAAATTTTACAACATTTTGATTTAGTGTAGGAGTAAAATGCTAATTCAACTTTGCATTTTGGAGCTCCCCATTTTTAATATAAAATGATATGATATGTGAATGCTGAAATAATGTATAAGTGAAACTTTTTGGTGTTTGTTGAGTTCAATAATTGAATTGAATCATGTTAATTGTATTAATTTTATTTTGTCCATGTTAAGTTCGGACCCAAATTAATAATAACAAATAAATTTATAGTTATTTTTTAAAAAAAAAATGTTTTCTTTTTATAACATCAATTTGACATTTTGTAAGGACTTAAATACAAAATGATATCCGAAAGTTGGTAACTAATGTATAATGAAAAACAAATTTGTATGTTAGATTGGTTACTTGATGCACATTCAATAATAAGTCCCAACCCGGCCCTTATAAATGGGTCCTCCTTCTTCCCCCTAGGGTTTTCATATAATTCTCCAAATCTTTCCGCCGCCGCGGTTGTGGTAACATAAGGCTAAGATAAGGAAGTAGAAATCCATTTTCAGCTAATGCTTCTTCTCTCTTCACGATAATGTCTTCAGGTATGTTACGTTTCTATAACTTCAATTTGAATTAAGAAAATTCATGTAAAGACTAAAAAAATTGATATCCTTCCTTATATATATCTAGTAGCAATAATAAGAAAAAAACTATTATTTTCTAAAGTTGTGATTTTGATCGATCTATCTCATAACTGATAATAAATCACACTTTATTATATAAAAAATGGTTTTTCTTTTAATGAGCATGAATGATTTCTAAATTTGTCAAGATATGAACAAATAGTTTATCTATAGGAATAAGGTTTAGAAATCACTTATGTGAGGGTGAAGTGTACGCTGCTTCAAGGATAATGATATAAAGACCAATTCATTATGCACTCATGATTTTAGGAGGTGTTCACGACTGAAACAAACTCAACCTTGAGAACTGTAGACGGTTAAGGGTTAGTTGTGTGACTTGTATTATCTAGATATACAACAAAGTTTGACGGTTCAAATATATCACATCTACCAATAGATATCGAGTGCATCCGGTATGAGTTCACTACTGAAAGTTCAAAGGGAAACCTACGTATCCAAATGCAATTAATCTTTGCTTGTAATCACACACCTGTCCATATTCCTATTTCATATAGTCATTCCCCATTAATGTGGGGAATTGCTCAGTTTTAAAAGTGTGAATGAAAAATGAAGTGATTTTTTTGAAAGGTTGTGACTTTTTTGATAAGGCACAATAAATGCTTGTTCATACTATCCTTTTATTCATAACAGAGGGCCGAGTTTCCTCTCATTTTTCAACTACAATTTTTCTGATTTTCTACTTTTTTTATTCTTCATAAAAACTCAAGTGTGATTTACATTTGTTGAGTGAGTAGTTCGAAGTCCAATAGAATTTGAGGTATCACTATTCTGTTGAACTAAATCGTTCTATCCTATGAGATATATTCCATAACCTAGGATGTTTGAGGGAAATAATTTTCTTTAGAATACACTGTGAATTTAGTAGGCTTGGTTTTTCAATATTTTTTGTTCTTTCTATCTTTTATTATTTCGTTAATAGTGTTTAATGTTCATATTATATATATTGAATACAGATTTGAGCCAAATAACAGGGAGAACAAGAAAGAGAGAAAATCGAAATGAAAATCAGGAAGAAATGATAGAAGGTATTTTCAATGTCTTTCTTTCAAAGCATATATATTTTTTCATATTCACAATTCATAGGTAGTATGAAAGGAATATCGTGATATGTTGAACACTAGGCAAACAGAAGAAACATTGAACATAACTTTAACTTATGATTCATTGCATCTGCATCATGTACCTTTTCTTCTTATGCAAATGATCGAGTAGGTGATGAGAAATTGTATCATTTCTTGGATAGAGGATTAGGTTTGGCATTGTATTAGTTGTATCAATTTTTTTTCAATACATAAATATAATTTTTTCTGATACGTAGATATAATTGACACTTCATTTTTTAAACCAATAATGCTTAATTTTGCACTCCATTATATTGTATCACCCTAAACTAAATACACAAATGTAATATGTATCATTTTTTATGATAAGTGTTTGAATATAGTATCACCCATAAAATAAATATACATTTACTAGAAAAAGGGATCGTATTATCTATAGACATAAGTTGTGCATTTGTTTCTTTACAGTTACGGGTTCATATTGGATTTACTATAGGAATGAATTACAAAGTCATGTCAATTGAATTTTTTTAATTGATATATATAAATTTTCCCTATGTTGTTTCAGTGGATAATCCTTCTGAAGGACTGAAAGTTCGAAGCAAACTATTGAGGAAAACTAGTTTAAGTGACGACTTTTGGAGCCCTCGTACTAGTGCATGTGAGATGGAGGGAAGCAATTCAGAATTTGTTAATCATGGTAAGTACATACTTTTCACTCTTTTTATTTTCTGATTGAATTTAACATTGCCTGGAACAGGTCTAATTCTTTGGAATCAAACGAGGCAACAATGGTGTGGAAATAAAACACCGCAGAAGATCAATGCTTCAGTTGGAGAACCCAAATTAAGGTAAGTTTCTCACATTTTTGGTAGTATAAGCATGAATGAATCTTATTCCTTCGACACAATTTGGTCTTAAATTAGTAATATTACATACATTTTAACAAGTTTGTTCTATCATCATAATTGCAGTTTATATACAAGCTATGAAATGTTCCTAGAGACCAATAAGCTTTTTCCTCAACCAATCCCTTTACCGGTAAGTTATCAAATTAAGTAAGATAGTTGTCTTTCCATTTTGCTTGTAGCTAGTTGCTGACTGTTGTGCATTTTTTTTACCAGGAAATGGTAGACTTTCTTGTTGATGTATGGGAGCAGGAGGGGCTTTATGATAAAGCAACCACATAACTCATTATTCTCACCAACTGCAAATTGTGTCATGGAAGTTCTACACAAGTCAAGACATAAAAAAAAAATCATATAGGGATACCAACAAATGATGAAACTTCAATTTTATTTCCCAATTCAGATTAAACTTTGACTTCTTGTCCTTTTTTTTCACATTAAAACTAGTGCATTTTAAAGGGGTTATTCACATATTATCTTTATTGTGCGGTGGTCTTTAATTTTTATCTTTAAAATTTAATGGTTATTTTTTTTCTTGATCACTTTAAGTAAAAAGAAAATGAACACAAATATCTCTAGTATATATATATATATATTAATGTGATTGGTGCTTACTATTACATATGTAAATGCTAAGGTACTAGTCAATATATGTAAATGTTTTTTTTTCAATTTTAGAATATAATATATAAGTGATACTTTTTGATGTGTGTCAAGTTTAGAAATTAAATTGAATCATGTTAATTATATTAGTTTTATTTGGTCTATGCTAAGACCGGCCAAAAATCAATAATAAAAAATAAATTTGTAGATATTTTATTTTAGAAAAGTTTCTGTGTTTTGTTTATGCTTTGTTTTTATAACATTAATTTGATATTTTACAAGGACTTCTAAAATATTAAAATACAAAATGATATCTGAAAGTTTAATGCAAATATTTTTATTAGTTTATACATTTGTCACGATCCAAAAGAGTCATGAGTGTCACCCGCACTTAACCTCCTAGATGGGGGAACCAACGAATTCAACCCCAACTTATATTAATTGTTCTACTTACGAAATCCAATCATAATGCAAAATCTCAAATCTTATTAAGGTAAGAAATACAAATCCACTAAAGTCTATTAAATATCGTTTCCCAAAACCTGAAAGTCATCACATCAAGGACATCTAATCTCCAAATACTAAGTCTAAGAGTGTCATAGACATCGAAATAAACAAATAAAGTAGTTTGTGCTCGAAAACTAAGGACATCATGCCATGACCGAGAGAATCCAACACGAGTTAGAATAAATAGTTCACCCTCAAACCTGATGTGCAGGAAACTGTCTAGAGCTGAGGGCAACTTGAAGTCACAGGTACAACCGTTGCACTCCACAAAAGGAAAACACAAGGAAGATACAAGTAGGGGCCAGTCAAAGACAATATGTACCGAGTAGATATCATCGGCCGCCCTAAAATAGAAACTAATATGCAATAAGTAATAGTATAAAATCAACAATAGCACTTAGCAAGTGACAAACAAAAAACAATATAAACAAGTGCAACCCTGAAGCAAGTGCGTAATCAATCCACAATATCAGGAACACACATGAGAACTCAGGCCTCCACACTACGCTCTTTTGGG